TCTCTCTCTCTCCCTCTCTCTCTCTCTCTCTCTTCTCTCCTCTCTCCTCTCTCCTTCCTCTCTCTCTCCTCTCTCTCGGTCTCTCTCTCCTCTCTCCTCTGCTCTCCTCTCTCTCTCTCTTCTTCCTCTCTCTCTCCTCTCTCCTTCTCCTCTCTCTTCTCTCTCTCTCCTCTCTCTCTCTCTCTCTCTACTCTCCTCATCTCTCTCCTCTCTCTCTCCTCTCTCTTCTCTCTCTCTCTCTCTCTCTCTCTCTCTCTCTCTCTTAATCGTCTCCTACTCTTCAATCTCTCTCTCTTCTCCTCTCTCCTCTCTCTCCTCCTCTCTCTCTCCTCTCTCTCGCTCTTCTCGCTTCTCTGCCTCCTCTTCTTCTTCTCCTCTCTCCTCTCTCTCCTCTCGTCTCTCTCTCTCCTCTCTCCCTTCTTCTCCTCTCTCTCTCTCTCTCTCTCTCTCCTCTCTCTCCTCTCTCTCTCTCTCTTCTCTCTTCCTCTCTTCCTCTCTCTCTCTCTCTCTCTCCTCTCCTCTCTCTCCTACTCTCTCTCTTCTCCTCTCTCTCTCTCTCCTCTTCTCTCTCGCCTCTCTTCTCTCTCCTCTCTCTCTCTCTCCTCTCTCCCTCTTCTCCTCTCTCTCTCTCTCCTCCTCTCTCTCTCTCGTCTGCTCTCTCTCTCCTCTCTCTCGGAAGACTTCCCCGGCTCTTCTCCTCCTTCTCTGCTCTCTCTCTCTCTTCTCTTCCTCTCTGCGCCCCTCGTCTCTCTCTTTTTCCCTACTCGTTTCTTTATGAGGAATCCTCTCTCTCTCTCCTCTCCTCTCTCCTCTCCTTTCTCTCTTCTCTTCTTTTTTTTCTCCACAAAAGTAAAAGGTAATGCTTACAATCAATTTTATAAAGGAAGTGGATCAAAATGAAATAATGAAACCCTAAATTGTTACACTTCAACTAAATCTCACAAATGGGTCAGATAAAACCATTCTTTCTTCACATTGCTTACTTGCATTACGATTGACTCAACAATCCCAAGTATAATTTTGATAACGAAATGTAGCGTTATCTCATTAGCAAGTTTTACCCCCTTGGTGCCCCCC